GTAGTGGATACAAGGAAATAATGCAGCTACTTACTAGAGACAGGCATATATTTGCTATATTCAAAGGGCAGGAAATGAACACATAGGTGTTGATCCAGTTACTTTCCAGAGATAGGTATATATATTTACTATATTCAGAGAGCAGGAGATGAACACATAGGTGTTGATCCAGCTACTTCCTAAATTTGTGGTCATTCTTACTAACTTGAAGGCTAAGGGAGTAAACACATAGACATGATCCAGCTACTTCCTAAAACATATGGTCTAGTTTACTAAATTAAAGGCTAAGGGAGTGAACACATTGGGATGATAGGGCTACTTCCTAACCATATGGTCTAGTTATCTATCTTAAAGACAAGGAAGAAAAATATATGTATTATAATTGCACCTCCAAATCAGCCAATGGAAGGAAGTTTTGAAAGGTGGAAATGGCCCTATATAAGTGCTAACATTCATACATTTCCTAACCATATTAGAAACTAAAAATAACAAGAATAGAGAAAGTTGCAGGAGTCAATTCTTCAAAAATTGTGAGTGAATATGTTTCTATTTGACTTATGTGCTTCAATACTACCTACAAATTGTAATGTGCTTATATACATGTTGATGTGAGATGCTTTAATACCCTGCAGTGAACTAGAACTAAGTTAAGGTAAGCTTACTTGCAATACATCATGTTTTTAACATAGTGAACCAAGTATAAAAATTATGATGTTGAAGTTCTATTAAAATTATTGTATGATATGAGCATTCATAAGTACGAAATTTTGTTATTGGTTGTATAAAAGGTCTAATGGACAGAAGACCTTAAGTGATTATTGAAGCTGAGAAACTAGCATTAAATTGTGGCTACCTTTTACGTATTTAGACATCACATATGTCAACAGATATTGCATTAAAATTGGTGATGTCATAGCTAACATTGATTGCAACAGTAAATTCCATCATAAAAAAGGTCTTCATCCTCAATATTCTAAGACCATACATCCATCCAGATAGTCCAATGAAAATTCAGTCCATCTAGTGTCATCACCCAGCTATCCTCAAAATATTTCATGTAGCCTCTAGTCATGTTGATCTGAAAAAGGGAAGATGAATTGGAGAATGAGTTTATCAACAACTCGTGCGCAAAATATGGTGCAAGAGTGTAAATGATGCATGAGATGAAATGAATAATTCTTTATCTTCATTTTCTTTTGACCAGTATGGAGTCATTGTTGTATACTTCAACTCAAATTAATAAAGTGGGACTGACATAATATTGGCCCGTCCTTAATTTGCCTTCTCTCGGCTAGAATTCTCTTTTTTGCCACTAATGATTGTCGAACTTTAATGCTGGTTTCTCAATTTCAACGATCACTTAAGGTCAGGCTGTCCATTCGACCTTGTATACAACCAATAACCAATTTCCGTACTTATGAATGCTTATGTCATACAATTATTTTAATAAAACTTTAACAACATAATTTTTATACTTACTTCACTATGTTAAAAACATGATGTATTGCAAGTAAACTTACCTTAACTTACCTCCAGTTTACTGCAAGGTATTAAAGCATCTCACATCAACATGTATATAAGCACATAACAATGTAGGTAGTATTAAAGCACATAAATCAAATATATTTCATTCACAATTTTTGAAGAATTGATTCTAGCAACTTTCTCTGTTCTTGTTATTTTTAGCTTCTAATATGGTCAGGAAATGCATGAATGTTAGCATTATATAAGGCCATTTCCACCTTTCAAAACTTAGGGCTTGTTTAATAGGCACCCAAATTTCATGGAAAATGGAATTTGTTTTCCAACTTTCACTTTTTGTCATGTTTGATGTTTTTTTTTTCCATTGAATTCTCTTTCTTGGTTGTCTCAAAAACCGGACTTTTCTTGATTTCTCTTGAAAACCAATATGGTGGGAATTGGTTTTCTAGGTACTGTACAAGTTTTTTTTTTTTTTTTTTTTTTTTTTTTTTTTTGGCAATGGAAAAAAATTTTAAAAATTTTTTTGAAATTCATTTAATTTTTTTGTTGGCAATGGAAACAAATTTTAAGAATTATTGTGAAAAAATATTTTCCATATAAAACAAAGCCACACGAACATCAAAAAATAGATAATTTTCTTTATTTTTTTAAAATTTTTTTTGCAATGGAAACAAATTTTATCCTCAATACCAATAAAATCTATCCCTTTTTAATTGACAATTTTCATTTAAAACAAATCCAAAGGAATCCCAAAAGACACTTTTTTCTCAACATTTTACAATTGGAAAATTATACCAATCAAACACAATAATTTAGAATTCCCAGGAAAATAATTTTTAAGTAATTCAATTTCTTAAAATTCGTTTTCAATTCAATTACATCTTTGCAATCAAACGGACTCTTACTTCCATTGGTTGATTGGAGGTGCAATTATAATACATATATTTTTCTTCCTTAGTCTTTAGATAGATAACTAGATCATATGGTTAGGAAGTAGCTCTATCATTCCCTATGTGTTCACTCCCTTAGCCTTTAATTTAGTAGACTAGACCACATGTTTTAGGAAGTAGCTGGATCATCTCTATGTGTTTCCTCCTCCCTTAGCCTTAAAGTTAGTAAGAATGACCACAAATTTAGGAAGTAGCTGGATCAACACGTATGTGTTCATTTCCAGCCCTTTAGATATAGAATATATACCTGTCTCTAGGAAGTAGCTACATCATTTCCATGCGTCCACTATTGAGTCAGGTAGCTAGATAATTTCTTTGTGGTTTATTTATTTTTCATTAGATTATAATCCTCAATTATTTATATATCTTAATTAACAATTCATAACTATTTATTATTCTCCGTTGTTAAAATATGGTAATTTAGTCTTTCACGAGATATTCGAAATTCTAGTAACAATCTTGTTCGTCAATTGATATATAAAATATGGGGATGAAATGTTTTAGTTAATGAAAGGTTAAAAATAAGAATACGGTGACAAAATTTGAGGATATAAGAACGATAACGAGTGAAGGTCATGGACGTTAAATGCTATTAAAATGCGGTGCATAATTTTATTTATGTTAAACATATTGTAGGGAAAAAAAAAAAAGAAAAAGAACAAGGAAATTGGGCCGATTCTTACAATTAGATCTAAAATGACAAAATATCAATCATGCATTTGCATTTGCAAACTACTTTTTACAAATTAGGGATCACTTAAAATAAATCCTAAAATAAGCAATATCCCCTCCTTCCCCACTTTCTATCTCTATCAATCTTCCTGTCTCTCCCATTCGCCGTCTCTCAGTTAACCCCTTCCTAGCACCTAAATATGTACTTGAGAATTTTGGAACTTTAGAAATTGGACCCAAATTATAATATGGTATCCAATTTTTTTTCTCCCCATTCACAATAATTTTATGGAATTTATTGTCAACTTAAAACTCAAAAATGAAAAAAAAATTAAAATGTTAATAGTATCCCTACTACATAAAAAGGAGAATATGAAGTTACTGTAGAAATCAACAGTGAATTCTTCTATTTTATCTCACTGTAACTTTTTTTTTAATTGTTAGAGCAAAAACGACGTCATTTGTCTTCAATCATTTCTCTATTTTCACACGCAACTTCACTGCAACCATCACCTTCACTGCAAAATGCAACGATCCATTTCTGCAAAGATCTTTCATCAACTTTTAATTCAAGTTCTGACTTCACAGAAAATGTAGGAGATCGATTCATTTTCAGCCAGCCCAAAACCAACATTCATCCATCAAATGAACTCTACTTTCAGCGTTTTCATACTCAAAAGATTGTAGGATATGACTTGATCACTGAAATTTGCAAAGTTGTATCACCAAGTCAGACCCGAAAGGAGAAAAGATCCAAAGGAACTGCAAATAGTATAAGATGCATAACCTTCTCAGGAGATGATCTCCTTGTGACAAAATAGAACCGATCTTGGATGCAATAATTGGCAGAATAACAATCAAGATGACAAGTTCACCACATATATCTAGGGAGAGGAAAAGAAATGAGGAAAACTCTTAAATTGATTTTAATCATCATTCATGCAAAATAAATGAAGTTAGAATTAACTCAATTCCAGAAATTACAAAATAAAATAATGCTTGAAATCAGCCAAAAAAGAAAAACTCACTCTCCATGCACGAAGATAATTTTTTTTCCCTTTTTTTATTTGTTTTGTTTACATTATAATTTTT